CTATTATCGTCATTATAACAATAATAATAATAAAAAAAAAATTAATAATTACTCGATGTATGCAAAGGATTGCACGTTCATCGAATAAGGTCAAAGTTGAGTACCTACCTACACTGGAATGTAACTGATGTATCTCTGTATCGTTTAAGTGTCGTGATGCAGTCAATAAGCCTAAAACAATATACTCCATGTTGTAGTATTTAGTTGATTTGATAAATACATTATAAAACAATTGATTTGTTAATTAAAAAAGCTTTAAAACTTAAGGATTGGCGCGCAGTCGATCAAATCTTGTCAACTAACCCGGTCAATCACATCGTGGTCACAGTCGTCACATTAAAACGTATTTACTCTAGTTTTGATTTGAACAATGAAGTTTAACCAAGGCTTAATTTACCCGATCTGCAAACGTTTATTTAAATAAATATTATAAAACGCCAATTTGCGTTTGAGATGACGCCTATATAGGATACCTATAAAATTTAATTTAACATATTTTTGTTTTTAGATTTTGAAATAAAATACCATGAGCAATCCGGGCGATGAAGACACGAGTTGCGGGTTATGGATATTCAAACCCAAATGGCTGCAAGTGTTCGCCAGCAAAAAGGCGTACGTCATCATATACGGCCTGTTGGGATTCAACCAGTTCATATTGAGCTCTTATTTCAACGGCACGCTGACCACGATGGAAAAAAGATTCAAATATTCCAGTCAGATGAGCGGTACGCAAACCGAACACCACGCAGTGTCCATTCCATCAAGTTTATGCACTTAAAGCGCGCCTACTTTGCTTTTTTTTTTTTTGTCTTCAGGCATCATTTCCAGCACGTGGGATCTTTTCTCGCTCATGTCGTTCATGGTGGTGTCGCACATAGGCGGCAAAGGGCACCGAGCTCGGTGGTTGGCCTACGGGTCCATGCTGGTCGGCATATCCTGTTTCATTCGGTTGGTGCCGCATTTGATTTACGGTCCGGGCGTGGAAGTTCTGAAATACACCAAAGAATACGGCGAGGGTGTAAACTCCACGTCGGCGATAATGAACTTGGCGAGTGAGTAGGCTACCCCGCACAGTCGTTTGCTGCGAAATCGTAGGTAAATGATTTTCGGACATTGATTGGTGGTTGAAATTTTGTTTAAGGGAACAACAACAAAATGTGCGACGCTAACGTTTTCACCGAGGACTGCGAGAACAAGGAATTCTGGAACTTGGCAGCCCTGATACTTTGTGCGGCACACGCGGTACTAGGCTTGGGAGGCTCTGTGTATTGGACTTGCGGTGCGGCGTACTTGGACGATAACGTTCGAAAAAACTCAGTTCCCGTTTTACTGGGTAGGGCCTTCGTTTTTTATTTAGGCCATAAGCGAGATACACGCGACTCGGCTTATTCAAACCAATAAGATGTCAAATTCATAAATACGAGGCACTCAGAAGCCAATTTGCCAACTTATTTATCTTGGCCTCTGAAAATTACTTTTTTAATCCAACCATGCTTTTATTCGCAATTAAAAAAAAATGGAGTTAATCGGTTTGGCAACTGAGCACCTCATATATAAGATATGAAAGTCCTGTCTTATTAGGGCTCGACATCGGATGAATTGTTAGTATAATAATTGTGGAAGTGTGTTTCAGCAATCGTTCAGTGTATTCGTATGATGGGACCTGCCTTGGGATACGCCTTAGCAGCGTACACTCTGACTATATTCATCGAACCCTCGTTAACGCCTACAATCGATAACGACGATCCTAGGTGGATAGGCGCCTGGTGGATGGGTAAGTAAATTAAATCAATTGCCATTCGACCAAATATAATTTTTTATTTATAAATTTTGACCATATAGAAACCTCTATTAGTGACCACAATTGTTATTTTTTCTACTAATGAGTTAAAACTTGTTTGAATTTAATTTTTTTTTTTACTTTATTAATATTTGTATTTTATTTATATTTTATAAGGTTGGGGACCCATTGGAGTTATTTGTATAGTTTGTGCAAGCCTAACCATGCTGTTCCCGAGGTCATTACCTAGAGCTGTAGCTCGCAATAAAGACCAATCGACCAATGGCAAAAAAGAATTGTTGCCAACTGGTAAGTGCCAAGTTCGGTCAACTAATTCTGTTGTCTTACACAAACTTGGTTATTTTCAGATTTTAAAACGTCGATGAAAAGGATATTAAGCAACAAGATATTGGTGTTGAATTCAGCTAGCAGTTCGTTTTTCGTCATGGGCCTCATAGGATGGTGGACTTTCATGCCTAAGTATTTGGAAACGCAATTCCGGCAGTCAGCCTCAGAGTCAAATTTCGCTTCGGGTATGTGTCGTGCTCAGGCACGACCCTCGCAGTATAATAATTATTGGGAGACATGTTTTCGATTATCCATTGAGCATTTCTATAATCGACAGGTACGGTTGGCGTTATAAGTTCCGGGGCGGGAATAGCTGTTTCTGGTATCATCATTACCAAGTTTAAACCGTCGCCCAGAAAATTAGCATTATGGAACGTTGTCGTGGAATTTCTGGAAGCCATCGGGTTCTTTATGTACGCTTTTATTGGGTGCCCAGCAGACGACATACACGGCCATTGGAACGCAGACAATACGTTAGTAATAATACTTATGTTTTATTTGGCCGTTAAATCCTACGTTAACAGTATTAGAATTGGGGTAATGATTAAAACGCTGTTTGACGCAATTATTTTCGTATTACAGATGGAACGTGACGATGAGCTGCAATTCCGACTGCAATTGCAGTCCTTCGATGGACTATAATCCAATCTGCTCGTATGACAAGTTAACCACGTTTTATTCGCCTTGTCACGCCGGCTGTTCTCAAGTGGACACGATAAACGGCACGAAAGTTAGTTTGACGCGGTTGTAGAGGACTGATATCATTGAAATGTATATAGTAATAATTAAGCATTTTGTTTTGTGCAAAATTAGTGGTACAGCGGCTGCGAATGCATAGAAGGTCCGGGCACAGCGTTTGAAGGTCTATGTCCAATAGACTGTGGCAACAACTTTATGATATTCCTTTTCATAATGGCCGGCATACGGTTTTTATCATCCACAGGTCGCGCTGGCAATACGATCATCCAACTCAGGTCTCTATGATTTTCGTGTAACCTAATTCTGTTAGCTGTATAGCTAACTTACTGAAGTTACCTACGTATACATGTACTGATGATTTTGATTTATAAATTTTGATAAAACCGCATAATATAATAAATTTTACATTACAATATTTTAAAAGCTGTCATGCGTAAACTGAGATAACAGCGTAGTGTCCAATGTGATCATACTCACAGTGTATCTTATTTATAAACTGTTTAGGTGTGTGGAGGAACAGGACAAGTCTTTGTCTCTGGGGTTCACTGAAGTGCTGGTTGCCGTCGTGGCATTTTTGCCTGGTCCTATTTTTTATGGTACTATAGTGGGTAAGTTAGCACATATGTTTAAATCATTTTAGCTATTTACTTTTTGGATTGACCAAAAGCTTTACAGTTAATTTGTCTATTCAGAAAATGTATTAACGAGTATACTGTTATCAAATACATAAAAAACTGTTCAAATTCTGTAATGCTTATGACTTCAATCTAATGGAACTACTGTATAGTATGCTATGTTTAATATATTTATAGATACGACTTGCATAATTTGGGGTTCCAAATGTGGTTCTACGGGAAACTGTTGGCTATACGACGGCAAACGCCTGAAATACTATTTGAACTTTATCAGCACCGGTACATTAAAAAATGAACGTTTCTTCTAATAATTGTTTTTCCAACTCAATTGATGTACGATTTTTAACAGGTTTTCTGATCATCGGGACGGCGTTGGACGTTGGCGTGTGGTACTATGTAAAAGGTTTGAAAATATATGACGACGAAAATGACAACACCATTGAAGTGGATAAAAACAGAAATTCGGTAGAGAAGAGGGACAGCGCTAACGATTTGAAAATGAAGGAGTTGGGAAAGATCGAATCCAAAAAGGCAGAATCCCAAGAAACCGTTGAGAAATATTGATTTCTTAAGCTGTTATCGTCTTGTACATAATTTAATACATCATAAAATGTTATACATAATTTTTATTTATTTATATATATAATATACCGTTACGGTAAACCTAAAAATTTGTGTAACTATTTTACATCCTTTCCTACATTTTCACCACGTATCAATTGCGGAAATCAGACATAAAATCATTGTTTTTACAATGTTTGTGATGAGCCTAAAAACCTAATATAACACAAAAATTCTACAAACGTCACCTATAAGTTTATAAAAACAAAGCCCCCTAAAATGTTTTTAGCTTTGACGTGGAGGTAAAAAGGTATTGGTTGTACTATGATGTGTGTTTTTTTTTGTGTCTGTAAACATCATAACTTTATTTTCCTCTAGATCGATTTACTCGAGTAGCAACTCTGTAGATTCGAAATCGTATGCGATTGGTATTTAAGAGTAGTCAAATGTCCTAATAGTCAACTTCTTCACATCCGATACCGGGAAGAACCGAAAAAAATTCGGCAGTTTTTCATCTTTCGAATTCAACTTGTTAAAATGCTAATAACACCAAAAGTATCTAAAATGTGTTTTTTTTTTAATTTTTTACAATCACAAAATAAATCATTTTATTGTGTTACTATGTTGTTTTTAGCGAAATTGTCAAATATTGTGTTCCATACTGAGTCGTTTTTGAAGTATATCGTAAGCTGTTGTTAACTGTCCAACAATTTCTAAACAGAGTAAACAACAACGAAAAAAACATTTTCTTTTTCGTTTACTTTTGACGAGTTCATGGTTTAAATATATTTATATGGACGTGTAGTGATCCGCCAGCCCTATGTTTATTTTTAGATTTTATTAGTTTTATAATTTTCTCTCTTTCTCTGTCTCTCTCTCTCTCTCACTCTCTCTCCCCGTCAGTCCTGTGATCATTATAATAATATGTGCACTGTGCAGTCGCAACAGGTTGCAAAAGTTACACCGGCCATCAGGCCTCACAGTCGCACGTCCCATACGGTCGTTGACACACATCCAAAGTATATGTTTGTATAATAATATTTGTATTATACTATTATTATTATATTGCGTTCCGTATTGCCATTTCGTTGTGATCGGTATTTATATTATAAAAAAACGCGGTCGGTCGGTGCGATAAATAATAATTTTGTTTTTTTTTTTTTAAATCTCCAAGGCCCGCAAAAGGAAATCCGCCACGACCGTCGTTTTTTTTATCTCAGTTCCGATGGGTTTACATTCGGAACTGTATTTAAATAATAATAATAATAATATAATATTATCGTAAACGGTTACCGCCAAAACGACGAGTTTCGCTATCAGTGCGCCCAAAAAAATCCAGGTTTGAGGTTGTGCATCTTATCCGAGGAGTTTGCAAGGAAAACTGTGAAAACTGAAAATTCCAAAAACCTAGTACGCTTATGGAAAGCGTTTTGCGTCGAATCCCCACAAAGGTACAGTTGTTATTATATTTTGTTAATGCTAACGTTTGTAAAGATGTAAAAAAACGACCAATTTTTTTTTTTGTATCTCACATCATTTTTAATGACCGAAATTACTTGATTTTCAACACAATAGTATCCCATTTGACTTTTACATTTAGAATTTTCTGAAATACCGTTTCCAAGTGAAATGGCTGATTTTGAGATTCCTTAACTCGTATAACTCTTGTTTTAAGAGAAAGAACAAACAATCCTTTAAAATTAAAGGAAAGTGATATAAATTTGCACGAACTTTGCCTACAACTGAACTAGCCTTAAAATACGCCAACTGAACAAATGTTGAAAAATATAAATTTCAATTTATAGATAATAGACTTATTCTCCCGCTCATTTCTAATATGGTATTAAGTTTGAGGTAGGCTCTTTGATTTTTTTTTTATATAGACACTTTTTTTAATTTATCTAGTAAACCAAAATTGTTTCCCAAGAACATTTTGAAATATTTTTATAACGATTACAGTCACTTGTTGGGTTTTAAATTATTTCAAATCCGGCTCAAGATTACAATACGGAAAACGGATGAACTTATCCATATTTTAACAGTAATTTTCTTGAGCAACTGTATCTAAAATAGTTAACTCAAATCGGTCTTGCATATTATAAGAGATATTAGAATTTGTTTTTGAAATTGAAATTGTTAGTAAGTTGTAACTATTAAATAATAGGTAAATACTTTTGATTTTATTTTTTGAATTGAATTTAAACTTTATTTATTAACAAACTCAAAAACTTATTAACTGTTGTGCGTAAAGACGTTCTGGACCTGCAGACAGTGTGGCGAGCCTCAATTTTGCTTAATGAAATTCCTATAAATTGACCGAAAAACCTTTACCTGACCTCGTACGTCAATTAGACTTTGGTGCATACCACGACAACGATGGGAGGGGTTTCCGTGAAGTATATATTATAGCTTGGTCCGATTATAACTATACTATATACTTTAATAACCTTAACACATTAAAACCATGGTTCTAGAGTAAAGGAGAAAATAATATAACAGAATTTTAAAAGTATTTAAAACGTCAAAACTCACATCCAACTTTATGTTATAAAATTGCGTTCTTTGGCTTTACTGAAATCAACCTTTTGACTTTGTTATAATTGTTTATCATTCCTTTCTGGTAATCTGTATGGAAAGCGTACCTTGATTAGTATTAAACTTTGTATATGAAATCAATATATTAACTACTTACTTAGTAATTTATTAGTGGACGATAACAAATGTTGTTTAATTTTGTTTATAAAACCCATAAAGTGCAACCTACAACTTTTGAACCACAAGAGCTTAATAACTATTTACCTAATAATGTTGAGTATTTAGAGTAGACCACGATAAATCTTAATTTGTAGCCTACCACAATATTACTATATAGGTCCTAGCCAATGTGTTTTTCAGTCATACAGTTACCACAAAGTAAGTTTCTTATTTAAGTACTTAATGCAAATTATTATTTGAGAAGTTATTTTGAGTAGCCAGTTTTTAATTTCTATTACAACCTTTAAATTTTGTTGATATAATGTTACTAGAAAAGTTGGCGTACTAAACCGAAATAAAATAATTTTAATTAATCACATTAATAATTTATTTACCTATTAAAAACTATTGTTAATTTTATAGTTTTAAATCTAAAAAATAAACGTTTAACTGGAATGTATGTACTACGAAAAATTATCTTTTACTTCCTAACATAATTTATCGACATGCGTTCAGCCTTCTGAGTCAGAATATCAAACAAATAAATAAGGAAATGCTTTTTTATTAGATGTTTTATTTTAAAACAAAGTGTTGATAAGTCCAAGAACTGATGTAATTTGGCATCTGTTGACCGATCTAGATAGAGAATTATAATAATATTTTTGTCTAACTGTAATTTTTATTCAAAGATTTTCTGGAAATTGTATATTCCACGTTTATACCTAAATAATATTTCGTTAGTGGTAGTCCATTAGTCAAACGGTTATTTGCCATACTTGTTTTTATCGAAAAGAATTATGTTTTCCCAGATTCGTTTTCAGATAAAGAATTCTTTCAGTTTGGTGTTGATTAAATTGTTTTTCGTTTCACCCATACCGCGTACCACCATCCGACTAGATAATGAGTCCAAGACGATTCCGAGCCATCAAAATAATTTATTATCTACACATGTAGATCAAACCACTACGGTCTCGCGAGTACGATGGCAACCGGGTCAATCAAATCCTGGTCACAGTCGCCATTTTAAACCGTATTTAGCTTACTCTCGAGTAGAAGATTAAGTTTACTTTATTTGCGAGTTTCGATTTGAACATTAAAGTTCGTCGACTTGAAAGGCTCAACCAAAATGGTTATTTAGCCGATCAGCAAACGTTTATTAAAATATTATAAAACGCCAACTTGCGTTCGAGATAACGGCTATATAGGATACCTATAAAATTTAATTTAACATATTTTTGTTTTTAGATTTTGAAATAAAATATCATGAGCAATCCGAGCGACGAAGACACGAGCTGCGGGTTATGGATATTCAAACCCAAATGGCTGCAAGTATTCGCCAGCAAAAAGGCGTACGTCATCATGTACGGCCTGTTGGGATTCAACCAGTGCATATTGAGCTCTTATTTCAACGGCACGCTGACCACGATGGAAAAAAGATTCAAATACTCCAGTCAGATGAGCGGTACGCAAACCGAACACCTCGCAGTGTCCATTCCAATCCAGTTAATGCACAAAATGCGCGCCTACTTGGCTTTTTTTTTTTGTCTTCAGGCATCATTTCCAGCACGTGGGATCTTTTTTCGCTCATGTCGTTCATGGTGGTGTCGCACATAGGCGGCAAAGGGCACCGAGCTCGGTGGTTGGCCTACGGGTCCATGCTGGTCGGCATATCCTGTTTCATTCGTCTGGTGCCGCATTTGATTTACGGTCCGGGCGTGGAAGTTCTGAAATACACCAAAGAATACGGCGAGGGTGTAAACTCCACGTCGGCGATAATGAACTTGGCGAGTGAGTAAGCCACCCCGCGCAATCGTTTGCTGCGAAATCGTAGGTAAATGATTTTCGGACATTGATTTGTGGTTGAAATTGTGTTTAAGGTAACAACAACAAAATGTGCGACGCAAATGTTTTCACCGAGGACTGCGAGAACAAAGAATTCTGGAACATGGCAGCCCTGATACTTTGTGCGGCACACGCGGTAATCGGCTTAGGAAGCTCTGTGTATTGGACGTGCGGTACGGCGTACTTGGACGATAACGTTCGGAAAAACTCATTTCCCGTTTTACTGGGTAGGGCCTTCGTTTTTTATCCAGGCCAAAAGCGAGATACAAGTGGACTCGGCTTTTTCAAACCAATAAGATGTCAAATTCATATTTACAAGATATGAAAGTCCTGTCTTATGAGGGCTCGCCGTATGACTAAATATTTAGTATAATAAATGTTGAAGTGTGTTTCAGCAATCGTTCAGTGTATTCGTATGATGGGACCTGCCTTGGGATACGCCTTAGCAGCGTACACTCTGACTATATTCATAGAACCCACATTAACGCCCACAATCGATAACGACAATCCGAGGTGGATAGGGGCCTGGTGGATGGGTAAGTAAATCAATTGCCATTCGATCAAACATAATTTTTTATTTATAAATTTAGACCATAAAGAAACCTCTACTAGTGTCTTAGACCACAATTTTTATATTTTCTACTAATTAATTTTTAAACTAACTAGTGTGTATTTAATTTTTTTTTAAACTTTATTAATATTTGTATTTTATTTATATTTTATAAGGCTGGGCACCCATTGGAGCTATTTGTATAGTTTGTGCAAGTCTAACCTTGCTGTTCCCGAGGTCATTACCTAGAGCTGTAGCTCGCAATAAAGACCAATCGACCAATGGCAAAAAAGAATTGTTGCCAACTGGTAAGTGCCAAGTTCGGTTAATTAATTCTGTTGACTTACACCCACTTGGTTATTTTCAGATTTTAAAACGTCGATGAAAAGGATATTAAGCAACAAGATATTGGTGTTGAATTCAGCTAGCAGTTCGTTTTTCGTCATGGGCCTCATAGGATGGTGGACTTTCATGCCTAAGTATTTGGAAACGCAATTCCGGCAATCAGCCTCAGAGTCAAATTTCGTTTCGGGTATGTTCTATGTTCTCGCAGTATAATAAGTGTTAGGAGGCATGTTTTCGATTATCCATTGAGCATTTCATAACTGACAGGTACGGTTGGCGTTATAAGTTCCGGGGCGGGAATAGCTGTTTCTGGTATCATCATTACCAAGTTTAAACCGTCGCCCAGAAAATTAGCATTATGGAACGTTGTCGTCGAGTTTCTGGAAGCCATCGGGTTCTTTATGTACGCTTTTATTGGGTGCCCAGCAGACGACATACACGGCCATTGGAACGCAGACAATACGTTAGTAATAATACTTATGTTTTATTTGGCCGTTAAATCCTACGTTAACAGTATAAGAACTAGGGTAACGTTTAGAATACAGTATCTATATTAAACTAATTAGGTTGAGTGTGGCATACAATAATATTCTCTAACGAGTTACATAACATTAACATACATAGTTTTGACGGTGTGGGGAAATGTATAACTTTAATCACTTAGTGGACAAATCCCCACTTTAACCACCCGAGTAAATAAGTTTAACGGATTTACTATTAGGGGAAAATTTTATTTACTGTAAAAATTAATTAGAAATGCTTTAAATATTTTATAGAAATACTGGTTGACGCGATTATTTTCGTATTACAGATGGAACGTGACGATGAGCTGCAATTCCGACTGCAATTGCAGTCCTTCGATGGACTATAATCCAATCTGCTCGTATGACAAGTTAACCACGTTTTATTCGCCTTGTCACGCCGGCTGTTCTCAAGTGGACACGATAAACGGCACAAAGGTTAGTCTGACGCGGTTGTAGAGGACTGATATCATTCAAATGTATATAGTAATAATTAAGTATTTTGTTTTGTGCAAAAATAGTGGTACGGGGGCTGTGAATGCATAGAAGGACTGGGCACGGCGTTTGAAGGTCTATGTCCAATAGACTGTGGCAACAACTTCATAATATTCCTCTTTATAATGGCCGGCACAAGGTTTTTATCATCCACAGGTCGCGCCGGCAATACGATCATCCAAATCAGGTCTCTATGATATACCGTGTCACCTAAATCTGATTTACCGTGCCACCTAATTCTCTTAACTGTATAGCTAACTTACTAAAGTTATCTATACATATACTGATGATTTTGATTTCCAAACCGCATAATATAATATGTTATACATTTCAGTATTCTAAAAGCTTTCATGCGTAAACTGGATAACAGCGTAGTGTCCAATGTGATCATATTTACAGTGTATTTAATTGATCTACTGTTTAGGAGCGTGGAGGAACAGGACAAGTCTTTGGCTCTGGGGTTCACTGAAGTGCTGGTTGCCGTCGTGGCATTTTTGCCTGGTCCTATTTTTTATGGTACTATAGTGGGTAAGTTAGCACATATGTTTAAATCATTTTAGCTATTTACTTTCTGGATTGACCAAAAGCTTTACAGTTAATTTGTCTATTCAGAAAATGTATTAACGAGTATACTGTAATCAAATACAAATATAAACTATACAAATATTAAAACGATTAGATAAACGTAACATCATTAGAGAGATTCATCGATGATAGGTAACTTTCTTATCTAGTCTAAATCAAAATTAAGTTAAACTTTAACATACAAATAAATTAACGTTATCTTATTTAATGAAGTTTCAACTCAATATAAATTATTGATTTGTCCAGCCTAACTCCAAATACTCAGAGTCCCCATTGATGTAAATAACAAAATTAAGGCTATTCGAACTTTTTTTCGTGTCATTAACAAAATAATGCCTTGAGGGAGTACCCTAATTTTGTCACGTAGCCTCCTATTTGCATCAATGACCCTTCTGTAATGCTCAAGACTTTAATCTAATGGTACTACTATATATATTGAAAAAAATTAACTAATTTTAGAGTATTATGCTATTTTTAATATACAGATACGACTTGCATAATTTGGGGTTCCAAATGCGGTTCTACGGGAAACTGTTGGCTGTACGACGGCAAACGCTTCAAATATTATTTGAACTTTATCAGCACCGGTACATTAAAAAACTAAACGTTTCTTCTAATAATTGTTTTTCCAACTCAATTGATGTACGATTTTTTACAGGTTTTCTGATCGTCGGGACGGCGTTGGACGTTGGCGTGTGGTACCACGTGAAAGGCTTGAAAATATATGACGACGAAAATGACAACACCATTGAAGTGAATAAAAACAGAATTTCGGTAGAGAAGAGGGACAGCGCTAACGATTTGAAAATGAAGGAGTTGGGAAAGATGGAATCCAAAAAAGCGGAATCCAAAGAAACCGCGGAGAAACAATAATTTCTTAAGCTGTTATCATCTTGTACATAATTTAATACATCATAATATGTTATACATAATTTATATTTATTTATATGTATAATATATCGTTACGGTAAACCTGAAATTTGTGTAACTATTTTACATCCTTTCTTACATTTTGACCACGTATCAATTGCGGAAATCAGATATAAAATCATTGTTATTACCATGTTTGTGATGAGCGTAAAATTCGTATATGACACAATAATCCTATAAACGTCACCTAGAAGTTGTAGTAATCATTAGTAATCATTTTTAATTTTATAATATTTTTAATTAAACTATATTGATACACATAATATATTTTGTACGATATGGTGTAATTAGTACTAACTTATTATGCTCGTAAGACGATGTACGATAGATTAAGTTATCATTGTTTTAAATTTAAAAAAAAACATGTGTAAATAATTATATTTTTCAACTTTATTCGACAATATATTTTTCTTTTATTACATTTACAACTTGATTTATGAACATTGTGTTGTTAACTTAACATTTAAATTTTACATAGCAACAGACGATATAGCATATAATCATTTTCGATTGTTTTTTGTGTTAATAAAAGTTTTTTTTTTATTTTAAATATTTTACTGTCACTATAATAAAATAACGTATACATGATGAATAATGCAATTGAAACAAACCTATTACGCTCTCGATAACATTATACGGTAGCGCATGCAGATATAATTATGTCAAATAGATTAAATATCATAAGTAAATATTTCAAATATATTCGGAGACATAATGGTCACAATATTGTCTTATAACTTAAATATATCAAACAGTCGACGATTTAACTACGACACCCATAAAATGCAAAAACGTTTCATATACGGACGGCAAGCATATACTTTTTAATTCGTTTAAATAGACGATGAAATTCGTAATGATTCTCATTATCAAATCGTTGGTCAAAAGTTGGTTTTCGACACCGTTGAAGCGGAGCAAATCGTTTTCGTTTGTGTAAGGTGCGTTTAAATCGTTTAGGATCACATTGGCCTTTGTTCTCACTCTTGCTGAAATGTCTTTTACATAGTCGGTGTCGCTTATTTTTGCTAAATCGAGTTCTGATAAAATCATCACGAGAAATTCATCTTTGAACGCCGTTAAAATCAATGCTTCATTGATAAAGTAACAAATAAGATTTTTTATGTCTTTTACGGTCTCCTCTTCCAGTATGAATAATTGTTTTTCATAAACATGCAGCATAACCGAAAAGTAACAATAAAATCTGGCGTCGATAATTTTGATCAACAACATTTGGTGGTCGAAGCGACCGTACGGTTTGTAAATCCAAGTGCGATTTTTCACAAATTCTCTGGTAATAACCACCTCGACTTCATGGCGTTGTTTCGCCTTACTCCAATCTACATTGACCTGGGCTATTTGTCCGAACAACAGTTGTCTTTGGTCGTTCCAAAATGGTTTAAGATAGAAAAGTTCGATCATGTTGTCGTAATTACGGTCCAGTACATAGTCTACAAAATATACGGACTTACGTATCCCGGTAAACATATTAATGTATATACTTATGTTTTTCGAAACAAAGTCGGATTCCATGGCAGTCGGAGGAAGGTGTTTTTCAGCAATACAATTTCCGATGAAATCTGATACACCGGTTTGCAGTTGGTCGTCATCGAATGGGTTTTCACGGATAAAAGGTTTATTTTGATTGTACTGTCTAGTGGCAATGATTTTCAAAAAATAACTCCAAAGCCATTGGGCCGTTTCTAAATTATCAGCCAGTAATAGTTTAACTATCAGTTCGGCTTCCCATTTAAGATGTAATATAGTATTCTCTATAGTTTTATAATTGTAAAGACAATGTAACTTCTTGTTATAAATGAAAGGTTTACCGCTTTTTAACAATTCAACTAAGTTCTTCAAACACAATATGTTTGATTTTACAATTACACAAAAACTACATTTGACGTCCTTAGCTTTTTTCTCTAATTTATCCCGACTTTTTAACTTTAACCGGTATTCTTTAATATTTTTGTAATCCTTTGACAGAATTTTCTGGTCTTTGGATTTGATAACAATTGGATGATCTCTGAATGTTTTCACATTATTTAACATACGTGAATAGTTTACATGAGTTCTTTGAACGAAAAATCGTATAGGATTAATCTGTAAAAATATCTAAATTATTATAATTATAAAAAAGTAAAAAAATGTTATACTGTATAATAAATGCTATCAACCGCAAAATATGAGTACGAAATTATTTCATATAAAAATGTTATTCTAAATTTAACAATTACCTGACTGTTACCTGCTGATTCGGTTGTTTTTATATTTGACATTATAGCAAAACAACATAACAAAAATGTACAAATTTTGGCAATCATTGTTATTTTTATTATTATAATTTATATTATATGGACTATAACAAAATACAAGTTTTTCGTATGGTTTGGTGTAACTAACCTATTACACTCGCAAGACGTTATACTGTCGCTAGTGTTTTCATTGTGTTAAATTGAAACAAGCATGAGTAAACAATTTTATTTTTCAGTTCCATTCGACAACACTTGTTCATACAAAAGATTTTTTCCGGTTTTGTCTACGCATATTCGTACGTCATAGTATACATTGATCATACTCTGTCTAAATAATATTTCATACAAATTGTTACAATAAGACTTCTTATTCAAAAGTTATAACAATACCGTAATTCTATGTTGAAAAATATATACATATTTTGGTTGTTTTTCTCCATTTTAGAGGGAAACGAGTGAATTTTTTAGGCTTTAACACAATAGAGTACTTCTCTTCTGTGTAGTTAAAATGTATCCCATGGCTTAAAATATATCTTGTGTCTACACAAAAAAAACCATTAATTTCTAAACAATACCTTTTCAATTATGCATCGAAGTTTTGAAGTAGTTAAATTTATAAAATCATTGTTCTTGTGTTTAGAATCTGAATTTGTTGTTTGCACTTATACATTATAATATCTCCAAAAAGGTTATGATAAATCATAATTTATCATAACCAATATTCTCCATTTTTACTGTAGTATTTGTGCATATACATGTATGAATATTTGTTTTTCAAATGCTAATTTTTATATATCAATTTTTAATAAAACCCATAAACAAAATACAAACAATAGCTATGTGAATCTCTCGTACTACTCGAATATACACACTCAAACACAAGTATAACTGCATAAATACGTTAACTCAAACTCAAACTCGTAATAAAAATTTAAAAGATATGAAATACACGTGTAATTATAACTATGTAGTTTTGTGACAGTATCACAAAAAAATGCTTTTCTTTTTGGAATTTTTTTTCTTTTATTTCATTATACCTAACTTTTCTTATGAACATTGTGTTATTGATTTAATATTCATATGTACTGAGCAGCTGAGAATTTAACTACATCCATAAAATGCAAAAGCGTTTTATATGCGAACGGCAAGCAAATGCTGCTTAATTCGTTTAAATAGTCGTTGAAATTCGTAACGATTCTCATTATCAAATCATTGGAAGACAGTTCGTCTTCGTCAACGTTGAAACTGAGCCATTTTATTTCATTTGTAAATGCACCGTTTAAATCGTTTAGGATCTCATTGGCTTTTGTCCACACTCTTGCTGAAATGTCTTTTACATAGTCGGTGTCTCTTATTTGTGATAACTCGAATTCTGATAGAATCATCACAAGAAATTCATCTTTAAACGCCGTCAAAATCAATGCCTTATGAATAACATTATAAACAAGATTTTTGATGTCTTTTAGCGTCTCCTCTTCCAGAATGACTAATAGCTTTTCATAAACATGCAGTATAACCGAAATGTAACAATAAAATCTGGCGTCGATAATTTTGATCAACAACAGTTGGTGATCGAAGCGACCGTACGGTTTGTAAATCCAAGTGCGATTTTGCACAAATTCTCTGGTAATAACCACCTCGACTTCATGTCGTTGTTTCGCCTTATCCCAATCTACATTGGCATGGGCTATTTGTCCGAACAACAATTGTCTTTGGTCTTGCCAAAAAGGTTTTAGATAGAAAAGTTCGATCATGATATCGTAATTACGGTCGAGTGAATATTCTACAAATATACGGAAATAAACACAATTACGAAGCTCAGAAAACATTCTCTTGTATATACTCTTGTTTTTCGAAACAAAATCCGATTCCATTGCAGTCGGAGGAAGGTATTTTTCAGCAATACAATTTCCGATGAAATCTGACAGGCCGGTTTGTAGTTGGTCGTCGTCGAATGGATTTTCACGGATAAAAAGTTTGTTTTTCTCGTACTGTCTGACGGCAATGATTTTCAAAAAATAACTCCAAAGCCATTTGCCCGTTTCTAAATTCTCAGCTAGTAATAGTTTAACTAAAATTTCGGTTTCCTGTTTAAAACACTGTAACTCCTTGTTATAAATGAACGGTTCTGCGCTTTTAAATGTTTCAACTAAATTCTTCAAGTACAATACGTTGGATTTTGTAATTACACAAAAACTACATTTGATGTCCTGAGCTTTTTTCTCTAATCTATCCCGGCTTTTTAATTTCAATCGGTATTCTTTAATATTCTCGTAATCGGTCGACAAAATTCTCTGGTCTGAGGATTTAATAACAATTGGATGTTCATTGAACGTTTTCACATTATTTACCATGTATGAATAGTTTTCAGGAGTTGTTTGAATGGAAAATCGTATAGGATTAATCTAAAAATATATATAAATTTATATGGTTAAAAAAAGTTATTTTAAAAACAAACTTAATTTCAGTATGATGCAGCTGTTAAGTATAGTTTATTTTTATTTTATTGTAGGGAAAATGTATTATTATGGCATCAAATTAATAGAAACATATAATTTTTACAAATTAATATTATTAGTTGTGTAGGTGTATTTTAACAAAACAACGTTGTATATTTATATATTTTGTAAAAGCTTCCTATTATTATAAAACATTTTAACATAAGTAATAATTTTCATTTTGTACAACTGCTATCAACCGCAAAATATGAGTAGTAAATTATTTCACAGAAAAATTATAGTTCAAAATAAATGCTTACCTGGCTGTTGCCTGCTGATTCGATTGTTTTTATATTTAACTTTACAACAAAACAACATAACAAAAATGCACAAATGTTGGCAATCATTATTATTTGTATAACTCTTTTAATATTACTTTAATTAAACACAAACATTTCTTATGATATGATGCATTTAATACTAACCTATGTTCGGAAGACGTAGCTAAAGTTTTCCTTGTCTTAAACAACTGCAAAAAAGCATAAGTAAATAACTTTATTTTTTATTTCATTCGACAACACTTGTTCATACCATAACTTATAGTGCCTGCAATTTTAAACGTGTAAATTACATACACGTGTACACGAAGCACGTGTAAGTTACATACAAGTGTATTTACATATTTTGTTGTTTTTATTATAAATTTGAGTTTGAGTTAACGTATTTATGCAGTTATACTTGTGTTTGAGTTTGTGTGTTCGAAATACACTTGTTATTAAAAATAAAAATAAAATACCAAACAATCTTTTGTTTGTCGAAAAGTTTGAGATTAATCCGGTGTTATATCTATAAGGGATGGGGTTATATTTTTAAAATTATAATTAGTTATTAGTCTCGGCTAATAACTATAATAGTATATTCCAAGTTATCGACTGGATCATAGTCAACAAATCATCGGGTATAGGCTAAAAATTAGATTAATTTCTTATAGAATTATAATTATAAATAGATAAAATAAATTGACACTTAAGTGTAATGATTAATCCTGCTATTTATCCGCTATTTGCCGTTTAAAAAAACAATGCACCTTGGACAAAGGTCGGCTACCCTATACTGATGTATACATTAAAAACTTAAGAAAAAAACTAAACATTTAAGTCAACGTTGATTTTATTAATTTTTAAATGCATGATCAAAATGTATGTTATTACATAGGTAAATGATTTTATTGTCAGATTTATTCGGAACGACACTTGTCACAAAAAATTGCAATTCTTTTAGAGATTTTTTTCTTTTATTCCAATATACCTAACTTATACTTACTAGCATGTTATACTTGTAAGACGATGCTCGATGCCACGATAGCATTAGTTTTTATTGTGTTATATTTGTAAATAATTAAAATTTTTAATTTCATTCGACAACACTAGTTCATACAAATGATAATTTTCGGTTTGTCAACGTATATTGATCATGTTGTTTCTTCTCTTTACTTTAGGGATGTATTGCGCTTTTAATTTAAACCGTCTGTTGTACACATTTTTGGTAAACAATTTACTGTGATTTTATTATAAATGAGCTTCAAAAAATTCATATAACTTTCCGTATTGCATTTGTTATCTGCTACTTGCATTAGATAATAGCTTTAATAGCAAAACATTACTAGTTAACACTAAAACTGTGCGGACATTGATATCCTACTGTTCTCGCTACGATATCAACGAAATTTAAATATCATAACAAATTTTTCCTATGAGTAAACGCTATTTTAGTGGTATTCTAGATCTAAATGACAGACAAAATTTAATATGGTAACGCCTAGTTGATATGGTCCGATTTCAATTTTGTAATGTGAATCGATTCTTTGGCTACATTACTGGGCTATTTAAGATTTTCATTTAAAAAAATATTTACCTGTAATTAAATTAATTAAACTTTTATATAAATTTTCATATAAACAAAGCAAAATCTCAAAAATCCGTTTTTATAATATCTCCACATAAAATTCAGTTTCTTGTTATTAAATAAATCAAATTCGAAAAATTTTCAATATTGAAAAAGAATTTTCATACATAAACAATGAAATAAATAAAAATCCGTTTTTATCTTGACAGAATTAAAACCGGACCATCCTAAGTGTTCGACATTTTGTCAGGCTTATTGGTCTAAAACGTCAAAAAAGATCTGACGCATGCAATCCCCATAAAGTTTTCATTTTGTTGAACAGTTAAAAAAGCGTAAGTAAATAATATAATATTTCGTTCCTATTCAGCGACACTTGCCAAAAAAAAAAACAATAATTGCATAGCGTTGTGCAAAAAGCAACCAACCCACAAAAAAAAATCGAAATTTAGTTTCACTAGTGTACTGTAATACTACACTAGTTAAAGTAAAATCTTGATTTTTTTTTTTGTGGGTTGGTTGCTTTCTGTATAACGCCATTCAATTGTCGATATTTTTCTTTGTTACACTTCATCGATTACAACTTGATATATAAACATTGTTTGATATATGAAATAGTTTTTATTATTTTAAATAATACACTTTACATAATAATAAAATAAAGTATACTTCATGACGTATGGTGCAATTATTATTATTATTATACACACCTAATAAGATCTCGAATAACATTATACAGTAGCTCATATAGTTATAATTATGTTAAATAGTTTAAATATTATAAGAAAATAATTTTATTTTTTTCCGAACAACACTTGTCACAAAAAATTCTTTAAGAGA